ACTTTTTTGATCCACAAAAGAAACTTTACTGATGGGAAAGAGCATACAAAGTATGAAACAACATCAATAAAGGGGAAGGAAGTGCAAAGAGTATCACGGAACACCACCTCAATCCCAACTAGATTGGCACCGAGAGGGGAACCCTATCATATGGCAGCACAAGCCTTGGATTCTGACTTTTTGATGGGTATTGTAAGTAGTTGTTGATCCCCTATTTATTAGATTTTTTTTTTCTATTTTTTTATATCATCTACTTACTTGGATTCCGACTTTTGTGTGTTTGTTGTATGATGAGTGATTCCAGAGGAAACAAGAAATGGAAAAAATTGTAGAAAAGAATGCAGAATTTGAGAACCGAGTAGCACAACTAACAACTACTATTGATCAACTCAAGTCTTCATCTTCTCATGTAAGTAAATGGCTATCTTTGTGCTTGTGTTTTATTATGATCCTTTTTTCACTCTCTCTCTCTATCTCTCTCTCCTTGTTTGCTTGATGTTGTGGAACAGGAAACTGGCTTGACCACTCCCACGGAAGCATATCATGGAATCCAAGGCCATGAGAGAGATGATCTTGTTAGCTGCCTCATAGTTCTAATTTTTTTAGTTTCTGTACTCATTGGTGTTAATATCTAAGTAGCAGCTGCTCAAGATTAATAAAAATAAAGTCTTGTCTTATGTGCCTATGAAGAATTGGATCATCGACGATATGAATTTTTTGTTTAATTTTCTAAGTTAGCCTTAGATGATGGACTTAATTGCATAAAGATTAGCCACCTCTATCAATAAGAAGTTTTACCGATCAGAAAATGAAAGAAAGATGTCAATCCAGTTTGATTTAAAAAAAATTTCAAAAAAATGAAAAACTAAAAATAGAAAAACAACAACACTACATTGTCTAATTTATCACCTCCAATGATGTGACATTGAGATTATACCCTATATGATGAAATGTTTGACAAATTAAAATTTGACACTTATTAAACATATCATTAAGAGTGATTTTTAGGAGTGTAAAAAATAGGTGTCAAGCATTTTTCAATAGAAAATTCTACCGGTAATTCCTATATTTTGGTTTAGTTTGGAAAGTTAGGTTTATAATCCCAAAGTCAAAAAGCTACTGTTGGTGATGAGTTGCTGCTGTTGGTGATGAGTTGTTGCTGTGTTTTGGTGCTCTGTCCCTTGGTGGATTGTTCTGTTAGCTGTGGACTCTAATATGCTGATCTAATGCTCCAGCAGGGGGGTTTTTGGATGTTTAGTATTCAAGGGGTGTGTTATGTTGTTTCTGTTAGTTTTGTTTTGTTTTGTTTTGCTTTGCATGTTGGTTTCTCATCAACTTAGAGCTTGGAGTTTGTGCTAGCAGATAATTTGGTGTGCATCTAGGTGCCAACCTAGTTGGGATCTAAATGTTTCACTGTGATGTTTTTTGCACCCTCCTCTTTATTGATGTAAGTTATCATACTCTGTATGTTTATTTTCCATCAATAAAGCTTTTTTTTTACTGATCAAAAAAAGAAAAAAGTCAAAAAGCTACTAAGTTGTCACATCACTCTCTTTATTTTCTATTATTTTGTGAAAGATCAAAAAAACTAACTAAAATAGTCAATTCCAAACGGGTGGACTTTTATTTCATTATGGTCACTGTGATTTTAAATAATTTATTTTAACCTTAAATTTATAATTTTATTTTAAATTGATCTAATTGATTACAGTTGTCATTATTTTTATATAAAAATATGCTCATGAATGGTATATATTTGTTTTTGGAGGAAAGTAAACTTATTCAATTGGAAGAGTTAATCTTAACCAACTCAATGATTATTATTTTTTTAATAGTAAATTACAATTACACCCCCCGAGGTTTGCTTAAAATGTAATTTGTATCATATTGCTCTAAAAATTAAATCCCACCCCTTGAAATTTTTAATTTTATAACAAATAACATTTTTTGTTAATAAATCGTCAAGTCAATTAACAGTTTCTAATGATATTAGAAATTTATTTCAATAAATAATTCATGTAATTTTATTATAGTATAGAAGAGCAGTTAGGAATTTAATTTTGAGAACATAGTTGAAAAGTCCAATCTAGCAATTGCATATGGCATTAGGTCCAGTAGATATTTTTGATTAGTAAGAGGTCCACCCCTTGTAAAATAGTTTGGTGAGAAGTTCTTTTATTATTTTGGAGGACAATTTATTTCTAATATTACCCCTTGTTTATCTATTGAAGTTTTTTGACTATCTGTTCAAATACTTTTTTTATTTGTTTAAATTTTATACTATATGTTCAATTTTTTTCCTTATCTGGCCGAATTTTATTATCTGTTAAAATTATTTGTTCAAAAAATCTATCTGTTGAAATTCTACATGTTCAAATTATTTTTTTCAAAAAATCTATCCGTTGAAATTATTTGTTCAAAAAAATCTATTTGTTGCCACATATCTGTCCAAATTCTCTTATCTCTCTTTCTACTATTTGTACAAATAAAATTCAAATTCAACAACAACAACAACAACAACAAAAACAAAAACAAAATAGCCATTATCTATTCAAACACACACGCACACACACGCACACACACGCACACGCGCGCGCACACACATAGAAGAAATATATATCTGTAAATAACAACAAAAAATAATAAAAAAAGAAAAAATAGAGAAGAAACAAAGAAGAGAAGAAAAGAGAGAGAGAGAGAGGGAGAGAGTGCTCACCAAGGCTAGAGGCAAAAACCTTGCACATGAACGCATCGTTCTGATTCCAAAGTGACATCATTTGGCGGTAATGGCTGATATGAGTCAGGGGGTCTGACTTCCCATCATAGAGGATGAACTTCGGTGGACTGTACTTATGAGGAGCTTCTACCGCTTCAATCTCAGTGCAAAGGAGGGAAGAGACTAGTCGGTCCAGAGCACGATGCTCTATCTAATGAACGGACCGGTCTGGATGCTCCTTTTCCCTTTCTAATCGCCATTCTGCTACTTTGTTCGACCGTCGGTCATCCCCTTAGTTGTCGTTCAACCATGTTCTCAAGTCACGCGGTCGCTCGTCACGACAACGCGGAAGAGGAGAGATTGCTGAATAATGACTGATGAACTTTAGTCTCTTGCGAGAGTCTTCTTGAGGATTCTCTGTCCTAGTACTGGCTCCCTCACTGCGTACCGAAATCGGCCGGCTACGCTCACCACGAGTAGGACCGTAGTTAGACCGTTCACGTCGTGAGGGCGGCGGAGGAGTGTGCCTCTGTTGCTGCGACGGTCCCCCTCCAAACTTCCTTGGCTCACCCTGAGGTACCATCTACTTCCTTAGTTGAGCACGTAACTTCTCAATCTCCAGACTCATTGAGTCGATGACACAATCACAGCGGTCCTTCTCAACAAATAGCCGTTGAGATGACTGATAGGCGACGGCATGACATTGCTCTACCGTATGAAGGGTCAAACTATTGTGGTCCACCAAGTTGTCATTCCCAGTAGGGAAGGCCAGACCCTTGTCTTTGGTTCTCTCTGTTCCTGGAGTCTTCTCTTTCATCCCAGGTTGCGAGGTTCCTTCAATATCCATTGTCGGAGTTCGTCACAAAGCAATCAGAGAATGATTCCCACAGACGGTGCCAAATGTGTGAACCAGTTTTTGTAGTAGAGTAGGATGGAACTTCGTGGACGAACCCTGGTGAACCAATGGGTGAAAGCCTGCACAAGGAACAAATAGTTAGGTTGCCCGATTGAGGGTTGGTCGGAAACCCCTCCGACGGTCGAGTCAGTACTGGAGTTTGGTAGAGACAAGATAGAGAAGACCAGTGTGTTTCTAGAGTTAAGAGTCTGCCTCTCTCAAGGAGAGTCATGTTACCTTTTATAAAGATCGTATGACTTATTCATCAAGCTCCCTTATTCTACGCCTGGTCTTCAGCCGTGATAGTAGCACATCCCTTAATAGAGGGGAGCAAGTTCCGTCATTTGCGGACACCACGTGCCTTTTACTTTACATGATATTGATGGATCTGTTAGCACTCATGTGTCGTTGAGTGGGAGCCTTGGAGCCCATGTTATGGACTTACCCACTTTGGAGTGGGGATTGGTACTAGGGCTAGGCCCATGGTCTTCCCTTCTTTGGAGTAGGGAGTGGTGCTAGGCCCAGGCCCATGGTCTTCCCTTCTTCAGAGTGGGGAGTGGTGCTAGGGCCAGACCCATGGTCTTCCCCTCTTTGGAGTGGGGAGTGGGCCAAGACTGATCCCTTAGCTCGGTCCACCATAGAGTGGAGAGAGAGAGCCCACTTTAGAGTGGGGACCTTCGTCCAGTCCAACGAGGCTCCATACAACTAGGCTTGAGTACGGAGTAGGGACCTTCGTCAGTACGGAGTAGGGACCTTCGTCCAGTCCAACAAGGTTCCATACAACTAGGCTTGAGTACGGAGTAGGGACCTTCGTCCAGTCTAGTAGGGACCTTCGTCCAATCCAACGAGGTTCCATACAAATAGGCTTGAATAATTGTGCCCCTTCAAACTCCAATAACATGACATTGAGATTAGACCCTATACGATGAAATGTTTGACAAATCAAAATTTAATAAATATTGAAATTAATCTAATTAAGCTATATAGGATAAATTAAACTATTCACTCTTATAATTGGACTCAAATTTCTCTTTCTGTCTTATTACTTCAATTTGACTAATTTTGTTTTTATATTTTAAGTTTAGTTTCAATTTATTCTTTCTGTTCAAGTTAAGTTAGCAATTTTGGAATATATGTCAGTCTCATGTAATGTACATGCAAAACTTTTTTAAACGAATTTGAGAGAAGGAAGTATCAAATATTGAAACTATAATTTAAATTCTATGAAAAATTGCTCAAATTAAAACAATAAGATCAAAGTGAACTTTAAAGTCAAACTAGAATGATAAAAATGTGTAATTTGCCCTATATATGTGGAAAAAAATGATTTCATGATGGGTCTAATTAATCAATTTTATTTTATTTTATTTTTGCGTTATATATGCATAGGTGGGCACTAGTACTGGAATGAGATCAGATGTTGTCCTAAAGAAAGAGGTTGATAGACTGGAACATCGGGTTATGCAATTAGAACTTGACACTTTTTTGATCCGCAAAAGAAACTTTACTGATGGGAAAGAGCATACAAAGTATGAAACAACATCAATAAAGGGGAAGGAAGTGCAAAGAGTATCACGGAACACCACCTCAATCCCAACTAGATTGGCACCGAGAGGGGAACCCTATCATATGGCAGCACAAGCCTTGGATTCTGACTTTTTGATGGGTATTGTAAGTAGTTGTTGATCCCCTATTTATTAGATTTTTTTTTTCTATTTTTTTATATCATCTACTTACTTGGATTCCGACTTTTGTGTGTTTGTTGTATGATGAGTGATTCCAGAGGAAACAAGAAATGGAAAAAATTGTAGAAAAGAATGCAGAATTTGAGAACCGAGTAGCACAACTAACAACTACTATTGATCAACTCAAGTCTTCATCTTCTCATGTAAGTAAATGGCTATCTTTGTGCTTGTGTTTTATTATGATCCTTTTTTCACTCTCTCTCTCTATCTCTCTCTCCTTGTTTGCTTGATGTTGTGGAACAGGAAACTGGCTTGACCACTCCTACGGAAGCAGATCATGGAATCCAAGGCCACGAGAGAGATAATCTTGTTAGCTGCCTCATAGTTTTGATTTTTTTAGTTTCTATACTCATTGGTGTTAATATCTAAGTAGCAGGTGCTCAAGATTAATAAAAATAAAGTCTTGTCTTATGTGCCTATGAAGAATTGGATCATCGACGATATGAATTTTTTGTTTAATTTTCTAAGTTAGCCTTAGATTATGTGCCTATGAAGAATTGGATCATCGACGATATGAATTTTTTGTTTAATTTTCTAAGTTAGCCTTAGATAATGGACTTAATTGCATAAAGATTAGCCACCTCTATCAATAAGAAGTTTTACCGATCAGAAAATGAAAGAAAGATGTCAATCCAGTTTGATTTAAAAAAAATTTCAAAAAAATGAAAAACTAAAAATAGAAAAACAACAACACTACATTGTCTAATTTATCACCTCCAATGATGTGACATTGAGATTATACCCTATATGATGAAATGTTTGACAAATTAAAATTTGACACTTATTAAACATATCATTAAGAGTGATTTTTAGGAGTGTAAAAAATAGGTGTCAAGCATTTTTCAATAGAAAATTCTACCGGTAATTCCTATATTTTGGTTTAGTTTGGAAAGTTAGGTTTATAATCCCAAAGTCAAAAAGCTACTGTTGGTGATGAGTTCTTGCTGTGTTTTGGTGCTCTGTCCCTTGGTGGATTGTTCTGTTAGCTGTGGACTCTAATATGCTGATCTAATGCTCCAGCAGGGGGGTTTTTGGATGTTTAGTATTCAAGGGGTGTGTTATGTTGTTTCTGTTAGTTTTGTTTTGTTTTGTTTTGTTTTTCTTTGCATGTTGGTTTCTCATCAACTTAGAGCTTGGAGTTTGTGCTAGCAGATAATTTGGTGTGCATCTACGTGCCAACCTAGTTGGGATCTGAATGTTTCACTGTGATGTTTTTTGCACCCTCCTCTTTATTGATGTAAGTTATCATACTCTGTATGTTTATTTTCCATCAATAAAGCTTTTTTTTTCTGATCAAAAAAAGAAAAAAGTCAAAAAGCTACTAAGTTGTCACATCACTCTCTTTATTTTCTATTATTTTGTAAAAGATCAAAAAAACTAATTAAAATAGTCAATTCCAAACGGGTGGACTTTTATTTCATTATGGTCACTGTGATTTTAAATAATTTATTTTAACCTTAAATTTATAATTTTATTTTAAATTGATCTAATTGATTACAGTTGTCATTATTTTTATATAAAAATATGCTCATGAATGGTATATATTTGTTTTTGGAGGAAAGTAAACTTATTCAATTGGAAGAGTTAATCTTAACCAACTCAATGATTATTATTTTTTTAATAGTAAATTACAATTACACCCCCCCTCTCGAGGTTTGCTTCAAATGTAATTTGTATCATATTGCTCTAAAAATTAAATCACACCCCTTGAAATTTTTAATTTTATAACAAATAACATCTTTTGTTAATAAATCGTCAAGTCAATTAACAGTTTCTAATGATATTAGAAATTTATTTCAATAAATAATTCATGTAATTTTATTATAGTATAGAAGAGCAGTTAGGGATTTAATTTTGAGAACATAGTTGAAAAGTCCAATCTAGCAATTGCATATGGCATTAGGTCTAGTAGATATTTTTGATTAGTGAGAGGTCCACCCCTTGTAAAATAGTTTGGTGAGAAGTTCTTTTATTATTTTAGAGGACAATTTATTTCTAATATTACCCCTTGTTTATCTATTGAAGTTTTTTGACTATCTGTTCAAATACTTTTTTTATTTGTTTAAATTTTTTACTATATGTTCAATTTTTTTCCTTATCTGGCCGAATTTTATTATCTGTTAAAATTATTTGTTCAAAAAATCTATCTGTTGAAATTCTACATGTTCAAATTATTTTTTTCAAAAAATCTATCCGTTGAAATTATTTGTTCAAAAAAATCTATTTGTTGCCACATATCTGTCCAAATTCTCTTATCTCTCTTTCTACTATTTGTACAAATAAAATTCAAATTCAACAACAACAACAACAACAACAAAAACAAAAACAAAATAGCCATTATCTATTCAAACACACACGCACACACACGCACACACACGCACACGCGCGCGCACACACATAGAAGAAATATATATCTGTAAATAACAACAAAAAATAATAAAAAAAGAAAAAATAGAGAAGAAACAAAGAAGAGAAGAAAAGAGAGAGAGAGAGAGGGAGAGAGAGATAGAAAGAAAAAACCAAAAAAAAAATGCATATAGAGATTAAAAAAAATAGAATTAATCCATTAAAAAATTGGTTTACTTTTTGGGTGCCCAGGTGAAAAATCAACTTTTGAATTTTTTTTTTTTTTTTTGGCCCAGAGATCCAGGCACTAGATTACATTGTCCAAAAGGACAAGCTTAGACAAAATGACTAAATTACCCCTCATGTGTTTTATTGATCTCAACCTGTCTCTCTCTATCTCACTTTAATCTTACATCTCTCTCTCTCTCTCTCTCTCTCTCTCTCTCCTTAGATTTGATCGTCGATTTACTATCAACTTCGCCTCTACTCCGTCATCACCTCCACTCTACTATCTAACCACCACCAGTGTCTTCTCCCTCTCCGTCTCTCTTTTTCTTCTCACATCTACGGCGGTGACTAAGTCGCGCCACCATAACTCCCTTGGTCTGACAGCGCGACTGACGACGCTAGAAGTGCTGCTAGGGTTTGTGACATGACCTTCCCTCTTCATCTTTCTATATATCTCTCCCTATCTCTCTCTCTCTCTCTCTCTCTCTATTTTCTCATCTTCTCACCACTAACTGATCACCACCTCTCTTTCTCTGAAGACAATATAGAACCAATCTGGATTAAGTCAGGATCCTTCTCAGTACCCACATTAATAGACATGATCTCATTCATTAAGGGTTGTAGCACGCCTCTCTTTTTCTTAGTCGATCAAATTTTGCAAATCTTGAGGAATTCATTCCTCTTTATTTTCACCACAGTTGTGGAAACAGTTTTGAAAAGCTTTGGTCAATGCAACGATTTAAAGGCATAGAGAAATAGGTGAAAATTACTGTAGTTTCATTCAGAACTTGTGGTTCAATGAATGAAACAGACTCAAAAGAAAGGGTAAAAAGACAAACAAAAACAAGATAGCGATGTCCAAGTTAACATCCCCAAAATCACCAAACTCTGACACAACAAGACTTACTCAGCACCCAATTTAGAAAGTAAAATAAACAACATTCTCAAATTGCTAAAATCAGTGTGTGCCATCCACCATGCCCGGAGTAAAACGAGCGCCATCAACAAGTGGTTCATCATCGATCACAGAACTAGCCACATTATCCCCCAAATTCATTGATCCAGTACTGATAGACTTTGTAGGACTTGGGGAGGTGATGGCCTTGTTATGAATCAAGTCTTGTACTTCATGGAAAATACGAAAACAACGGTTAGTGTCATAGCCGAGTTGCTAATGGAAAGCACAATACTTTGTAGCATCATGCCTGGCTAGAAGGCAATCAAGGAGAGGCCGAGAGTTAAGGGGTTTGAGATGGCCTTGTTGTCATGACCTAAACCAGCCCCTATGGATTAAGGTCATAACCAGCCAACAATCATAAGATTACCTACGACCTCAAACAAAATCAGATACATATTAGGGGCTAAACGGAAGCAAACTTAAAAATTTTGTCCAATGAGTTGTACTTACATGGTAAAACAAACATTTCAGAAACAATTTATAATAACTCACACATGAAGCCAAAATTTACATCTTATGTATCTAGGAACTTTTAGCATGCAATCAGCCGAACAAAAAGCTTATATACATGGTGATCCAACATATTCACCAAGGTAACAAAAGGGAATCAAAAATAAAAGAAACAAAATAAAGACTCATGTGTGAGACGTTTGGGCTGACTCTACAAAAACTTGACTCCTCTCATGTCTTTCATAGGGGCTGGGTTTGGACTTCTCTTTACTCACCTACACACACATAAATGAGAGTGAGCGATAGCCTAGTGAATAATATCAAAATAAAAGAGTACATGAATGAAATTTGTAGCAGTCATATCAAACGACCTTAGGCTTATTCATGATTCTATCTAACACATCAAACGGCCTCAGGCCCAAACGTATAAAATGGCCTTAGGCCCAATTTGTTTGTGTCAAACAGCCTCTGACCCATTCATTCATGTCAAACGGCCCTTGGCCCAATCATTTATGTCAAACAGCCTTTGACTCAATCATTCATGTCAAACGACCTTAGGCCCAATTCGTTTATGTCAAATAGCCTTTGGCTCAATCCTTCATGTCAAATGGCCTTAGACCCAATTCGTTTATGTCAAATGGCCTTTGGCCCAATTCATTTTCAAATTCGTATTTATGTGTGTCACATATCCGTGATCATGATCATATTCGTATTTAATTAGTCTTATGCAAAAGACTGATTTATCCACAATTTAAAATACAAATCCATAAGGCTCATACAAAAGTAACATTTGGAAAATAACGTACTTGAACATATCTTTAATAAGATATTACTCACAGTGATCTAGCGGATGATTTGCCCTTACGCTTGACCCTGCATATGTGAGCGATAGCCTAGTGAATAATATCAAAATAAAAGAGTACATGAATGAAATTTGTAGCAGTCATATCAAACGGCCTTAGGCCCATTCATGATTCTATCTAACACATCAAACGGCCTCAAGCCCAAACGTATAAAATGGCCTTGGGACCAATTTGTTTGTGTCAAACAGCCTCTGGCCCATTCATTCATGTACGGCCCCTGGCCCAATCATTCGTGTCAAGCGGCCTTTGGTTCAATCATTCATGTCAAACGACCTTAGGCCCAATTCGTTTATGTCAA